AAAATTAACCAGACCGAAAAAAAGAAGTAGAGAGAAATTGAAGTGCGAGACTTTAGGAGGTTGTATTCAATTTCAACTTTTAAAAGACTTTTAAGCACATTTTAAATTCTGGTGAACCTATAGAGACTTCTGAAAAGTTTATATATATTCAATTGAGACTTTTAATTTTTAAAGAGTTTTAAAAAGTCCTTAAAAGTCTCAGTGTATTCAATTAAATCTTTCTGAGAGTCTCAATAAGTCACCGTCTATTCAAAATATGAAGACTTTGTGAGACTTTTTAAATTATGAGACTTTCAGAGACTTTTCTAAAAAAATTACAAAGAGAAAGTCCCAACAGAAATCTCATCAATATTGGTGAGATTTTGCTGGACTTATATGACTCTTCATGCTCCCTTTCTTTTTTTTTTTTCTTTCTAACATGACTTTGTATCTCATATGACTTTCATGCTTTATTATTTTACTCATTTATTTTGATACCCTGTATAATTTTTATTTTCATTACGTATATATATTTAACGTGATCATTATTTTATTTATTTTTTATTATGATTATTTTATGTATGTATACCTTTATTCTTTCATTTTGTTATCTTCTGAATTTGATTTTTCAAAGGATAAATGCTTCCATAGTTTGCACTTATAAATAATTTATTTGTTCTCTCTTTTTATTTGTCAATGTTTATTTTTTAATATTAATAAATTATTTTATTTTTTAATAGTTTATTTGTTGATATTGAATTATTTTGAATATTGTTGATAACTTATAAAATACAATTACTGTTTTTCGACAATGTTTGTATCTTCCATAGTTCGACTCGTTGAAGCTCGGATTGATTTGCTCGTTTAAAAAATCTAAAATCCTAAACAATTTGTCAGTGAATAATTCATTTCCCAAAACAATGAGTTGATCCATAAATTTTTAGAGGATTAATATATAAAATATTTTTTTCATTTATTCTTCTTGATATTAGTTATTATGTTACGTTTATTAATGTTTCATTCAAACATAATATTATAACTACAAGTATATAAAAGTCTCAATAAGTTTTAAAAAATATCAGTAAGTTTTAAAAGGTCCAATATGGAAGTCTTAAAAAGTCACTAATGAGAATTCTCTGAAAGTCTCAACAAATCCACCAAAGTCATGAAAGTTTTACAAAGTACACAAAAGTCACCAAATTTAAAAAGTTTTAAAAGGTCCTTAAGAATCTCAATTGAATACAACCCCCTTAGATTTAGTTTCGGGATTTGTATAGTTTTTGAACTATGATTTATGGTTGGAATTGGAAAGGTACTTTTTTTTTAATCAGATTTCACAATGCATAAGAGCACCTCCAATGCATAAATATTGTTATTATATGAATTTTGACAAATTCAATTAATTAGATGGATTGTGAACCACATAAGATAATTGTTAGGTTCACAACTTTAATTTTAAAAAATTTTCTCCAATGCACAATATAATCAAACACAATATTATCCACTTGGAATATGAAAGAAAATGAATTAAATAACTAAATATTTTAAAAATGGTAATAATATTTAGCTCTCCTCTCTCAATTGGTTGACTAGAATGTGAATGAACCACATTCTTCTTTACATTGTAGACATTAATTATGTCTAACTCATCACTACATTTGTGATAACATTGTGCATTGGATGATTAAAAGTGAATGAATTGTTAAATATGTTAATGTAGAGTGTAATTTACTACAACTACATTTAAGCATCTCCAATGCTCAATGTTGTAGCAGTAAATTATTCCACATCAACACATTTATTAATATCTCAACTTTCCATTCTCTAAAGTACAATGTAATTACAAATGTTGTAATGATGTGGACATAATTATGTCTACAGTGTAGAAAGGAATGTGGTTCATTCACATTTTCCTCCACACTCTAGCTAGCCAATGAAAAGAAGAGAGAACATTATTATTACAATTTTTAAACTATTTGATTATTTAATTAATTTTATGAATTTATATTAAAATTTAAATATTTGGTAAGTAGATAATATTGTAATAAGAGTGTATTGTGCCTTGGAGATGATTTTTTAATTTAATAGTTGTGAACTCAACATTTGTCCTACATGGTTCACAATTTATTTAATATTTTGACATTTGTCAAAAAATTTCCAATAACAATATTAAAGCATTGGAGATACTCTAAATAAGCACAACACATCTAACGGGAACCTTCCCATATTATATATATATTGAAAGAGGATGGTCAAATAAATCATTTGTGGAAACTTCATAAAAAAACTGAATCAATTCATTTGACTTACTACTTATGGCAATTTTTTAAACCATCCAAGATCCTGTACAATCCAAAATTTTATTCACTTTTCGAACTTGGTTAGATTTTTCCGTTTTATTTTTGTTGATATATTAGCAAAATCGTTCCATAATTTTTGCACAAATTATTCGCGCCTTTCACAAAAACTGAGTCAACATATTTTTGTTAATATCTTAGCAAAATCATTTCATAATTTTTATGTATCGAACCACAAATTGACGCTATTTGCCGGATTTCGAATATAATTACAGAATTTCAATCATGGAAGTTTCAAATTGGATGAAGAAACCTTAAAATCGAATTGCTTCTATCGGAATAACTAAAATCTAACGNAAAAAATGCATGAATGTATAAGCCATTTACATGCATGAAAGTATAAGCCGAAAACATGAATATTGTTGGTTATCGTTGCTTTCTTTCTTCATCGATCATGGTCGGTTTCCTGAATTAATCTATTAGTTGATGATTTTAACTAAGTTTTCTTCTTTGATTTGTTGTCAGCACCATCACCATCAAATTCAACATTATCACTTTCACTTCCATCTGCTTCTGCTGAGACGTCTTCATCGGGGAACGATAACAGGGTATTAATGTGCCAGAACGGAAAAGAGTAATTTTTAAACTACACACATCATTTAATTCATTTTTGTCTTTATTACATTGTTCATAACACAACTTTTAACTTGCACACCTGTTTTGCATATAGGTTTACTCCATATGACACTTCTGAAATAATTTTAGCCAACATCAAATCCAAATATGAGAAACCATGGACCGGATGGAATCAAATCACACAAAATGTGAAAATTTTGTGGTTTGGGGAGTTTAAGGTAAATTTATTGATTTATCAACCTTGTTTTTTATAATTCCCTTTAATGCAAGAAGGCTTCTTTAGTATCTTACTCTGTGTTTCTTTGTTACTGTTATTTGGAAACTTTGATGATCTTTGATCATTCAAAAGAGTAATTAGTCATTTGTTTGGTATCTACTATTATTATGTTTATGTTATTCAATGTTCCTTGCATCTTCTTGTTATATACTTCCGTTTTCTCCAGTGAGAACGTCAGCATATGTTTGTTATAAATAAATTATTTAGAAGTCTATGTTTGGCTCCCATAGGCAGTGCTAGCTATTAGTATTCATTATTGCTATATGATTTTCTATGTTGATTTCATAAAGATTCACACATACTCGGTTCCTAGGGCCTCTTTCTGGCATCCTTTGTATATTATCTATACATACAGTAGCTGGGCTTTGATTCATGTTCTTAAAACCCTGTGCAAGGACTTTTTAGATGAGATCCTAAGCACGAGCGAGCCATTAAGAAGATATGGAAAAACAAATGTGCAACCTATGTGCGTCAAAGCTTGAGTGACATTCGTAAAGGCAAATCGGTTGAGGCATGGTTATCTGGAAATGTGCTAAAGGCACTTAAGGAGACCTGAGCATCAAATCCGAGTTTCCTGCACAAGTTCGAACAGAACAAGAAAAATATAGCTGCTAATCACGATGATGATTGTAGGGCTGAGGAGGAATTTAGAGATGATTATGACATTTAGGAGCTTTTCATTTTATGTCTTAACATTTGTTGTAAATTTTAGACATGTTTTGGAAAATGATGGTTATCAGGTCATTGATGCTCTTGACATTAGAATGATGGTTATGTTTTTGACATTAGAATGATGGTTATCAGGGGTCACTGTAATTGAAGATAAATATGACATGGTTTGGATATGAGATCTCTTTGATTTCTTGGTTAATATATCTTTTCTTTTCTTGGTTTACCACATTTGTAGGAAGAACCATCGGAATATTCTAATAGGCATGTTTTGTTGGAATGGCCATTGAAACCAATTCCAATGGCCGATTAACCACAGAATAAGTGTTGGACTGTATTTCAATATTTGAGGGATTCCAACGGATATTTTTCGTTGGAATGGCTGTAGGAATTTATTTCCATAGGATTTTCCGTCGGATTTTAACTATTCCAACAGCCGTTTTCCCATGGATTATTATATGACGAAATATCCGTTGGAATAACGGAAATTCCGTTGGAATTAAACCTTTTCTTTGTAGTACCTACGCTTTGGTGTTTTCCAAATCGAAACACGATTTCCACCTCTGACACCGAAATGATGACATGGCCCATCGGAATACATACATGGACCTAATTTGTTAAATTATTAAAATAATAAGAACGAATAAAATAAGTTCCTTGTTTGTGATTGCTTGTGTAATGGATCTTGCTCGGAATACCATGAGGGGCCACCTTATTGAGAAGGTGGTATGTGTTTGCTTTAAGATTGGCAGTTGTCAAGTGGGTAATATCTACTTTAATAGGAGTGGTATATACTATATAGTGTTTTTTGTTGCCTCCTTAGTTCTTGTCTAGTGCATTTTAAGCCTAATAATTGAAATTAAAATGATGAAAGTGCACCCCTCCAATGATTTTCAAATCACTACAACCATTCTTCTACGGGACTGGTGAAAATAATCGAGAAACACATCAATCTAGGCGAGCCGAAGGACGGAGGTCGATGGAACTTGAGTGACACAACCCTTTGTGAAGTCAATGTTCCATGTGTTGTTCAGCCGCTTCACAACCCTTTTGTAAAGGAGCAGGGAATCATAAAAGGAGTCTGAATTGTGAGAGCTAGCTAAGCAGGAGGAGCATAATAAGTGAAGTAAAGTAGGAATTTACAGAAGTTAGCAGCAAACTCTCTTTCATATAACCAAATACACAGAGTACCTGAAACCACAAACACAAACCCCAAACAAACGTGCTAACTGCACGAAATAAGACTCATCAAACTCAACACGCAACAAAACAAAAATAAGAGTAGAAAAGTACCCAACAGTCTTGTCTCGTCTCTCATACCTAACATACTACCTACTAATCAGAAATACAACCAACTTGTAATCCTACTAATCAAGGAGAGACTCCTCGATGTCCTCGTCAAACAGAAATACAGCCAACTTGGTGCAATAGCAGTACGAGTCTTGTCGATAGTAGCAATGCTTAAGCGTCAGAACCTCATGTCCTCCTCCTCGTAGACATCGTCCTCATCATAGTTGTAGTACTCATAATCATCCTCATCCTCGTCATCCTTGTCACAGTCTATCTCGTCTTCGCCATGGTCCATCTCGTCCTCTTCCTCGCCCTCAAAGTTCACCATGACACAATCAATTGTGTCAAATGAACTATGGGAGAGGCATATAACCTTCCCCAACGACGACTCTCGAGGATTGGAGCTGTGAACCCCATCCAAAAGGAGGCCACAAATACGTCAACTGATCAAAGAGCTCGAATAGGACGCAGAAAGAAATGAGACGAACGCGGAAGGGGTTTATTCAGGTCATATATAATGAATCGCGTGCCCACTTAAACAACAAATCCAATGAATTTATCCTCCCTCAGCACGGAGCTCACCATATTCGCCTCCCGAAGCTGACCCCCAATGTCAATTATTCGTACAGTTGGGCGATCCCTCAGATAGCGCTTTTTGATGAAACAATATATTTTCCCCCTGAAATTTTGATCTGGAAGCCATCTCCGCAATGATGGGTCATACAGTGAGCTCGTCACCCGATCATAATTTACCAAAACTAACAGAACTTCGCAAGCACAGTGGCTTCCCTCCCCAGGACTCCTAGTGAAGCTCACCCACATCTCGTCTAGCGTCGGGTGCCTGTTGGGCAAGTTAATAACCTTATTCCATCAGTTAAGAAAATGTGTGCCTCCTCATCCGTACAAAAACATGATCGGTTAGTCGAGATGTAGGCGAACTTCATTGGGAGTCCTGGGGAGGGAAGCCACTGCGCTTGCGAAGTACTGTTAGTTTCGGTAAACCATGATCGGGTGATGAGCTCACTGTATGACCCATCATTGCGGAGATGGCTTCCAGATCAAAATTTCTTAGACGTGGACATTCTTGAGATGCCGACGACTTTTGCTACGACATCTACCCATGTATTATGGGTCGACAGAGTCGCGGGGGAGGATATTGTTTCATCAATTTTTGGCGCTATCCGAGGGATCGCCCCACTCTACGAATAATTGACATTGGGGATCAGCTCCGGGAGGCGAATATGGTGAGCTTCATGCTGAGGGAGGATAAACTCATTGGATTTGTTGTTCGAGTGGGCACGCGATTCGTTATATATGAGTTGAATAAACCCCTTACGCGTTCGCCTCCTTTCTTTCTGCGTCCTATTCGAGCTCTTGGATCAGTTGACGTATTTGTGGCCTCCTTTCGGATGGGGTTCACAGCTCCAATCCCCGAGGGTAGTCGTTGGGAAAGGTTATATGTCTCTGTGGGTCACAGTTCATTTGACACAATTGATTGTGTCATGGTGAAATATGAGGGTAAGGAAGAGGACGAGATGGACCATGGCGAAGACGAGATGGACTGTGACAAGGATGAGGATGAGGATGAGGGTGACTATGAGTACTACAACTATGATGAGGACGATGTCTACGAAGAGGAGTAGACACAGGAGGTTCTGACGCTTAAGCATTGCTACTGTCCACAAGACTCGTACTGTTATTACACCAAGTTGGTTGTATCTGTATTTCTACTTGACGAGCATGTCGAGGAGTCTCTCCTTGATTAGTAGGACTACAAGTTGCTTGTATTACTCATTAGTAGGTAGTATGTTAGGCTATGAGAGACGAGACAAGATTGTTGGGGACTTTTCTACTCTTATTTTTGTTTTGTTGTGTGCTGGGTTTGATGAGTCTTGATGAGTCTTATTTTGTGCAGTTAACGTTTGTTTGGGGTTTGTGTTTTCAGGTACTCTATGTATGTATTTGGTTATGTGAAAGAGAGTTTGCTGCTAACTTCTATAAATTCCTACTTTACTTCACTTATTATGCTCCTGCTTAGCTAGCTCTCACAATTCAGACTCCTTTTATATATTGTACCTCCTCATGCAGAATGAGAGTGGGTGGCTTGGGTAAAAAGAAAAAGCTCTTTTCAAGTGGATAAAGAACTCCATCTTCAGCTTTAAGAGATGATATCATGGCGTAACCATCCTGACTGCTACGGAACTTCCCTGGTTTTGTAACTTTAGCACCAGACAAACCACGCAGACTTGTAATGAAGATTTCATGGATCAGTCCCTGATATTTGGAGATCAATCACATCAAGGTTAAGTTTTAGCTTCAGTTTCAGCAGGACAGCTTCTAAAAATAGGTCTAGCAATTCAAGAGACGTTGAAAACGCAGTACCTATGTTAATAAGACTACCATTGTGCACATACACTAATTTCTTCAATCAAATAGACATGACCAAACTAGTAATCCACAATTCGAAAGTTAGCAACTGGGAGTATTATCTACCTTATGCTCTGGCTGGAGCTTGTCCTTGTACCTGGTATTATAAAGCTCATCACTCATTGATAAGGTGGTGTCTATTACAGCATTGGTCTCAAACTGGAAAAAAAAAAAAAAACATGATAGCTTGAATACTCGAAAAATTGTGCTTCAACTTTGATGATTTTACTAATTATTACCTGCATCACAATATGGGGATACAAAGTTTGACCTTTCCTAATTGGTGGTCAAGAGTCACAATAACAAAGGTATGTGGTTGATTAGACTGCAATAACAAAGATAATTCATCACTAGACATGATGCAATCAAGTTGTCTCCTCAAATGGTTTTAGAGAACAACTGAAGCGATAGATAAAGTACAGTTTCCAACATATATTTGCACAACACTAGTCAAACAAAATCAAAGACTGGACAGTGATAGAGAACCTTAGGTAGCCAAAAGACACGAACGACACTGTTGTACTTAATTTTGAAGTCATTAGCTTGTCCTTGAAAATGCAAAAATGAGAGATGAAGTCCAACGCTATATCGTCCCCTAACAGAAATATCAATGTCAGACAGTCCTTTTCGAAATAGAAGAAAATAACATTTGTAACTTAAGAAAACAAGGTCCAAATGTATCCTACCTTGGGGTGAGTATGGCAATTCCATCAAAAGTAAAAACGGCCTTCTCACCTCCAGCTCCAACATCTGCCACAGAGACAATCTCCTCTTTGAACACCTACAAACATAGATTTCCACAAAAATAGTTTAGCGACAGCATACATGCAATCCCATATCAAGAATCAATCGGAAAATTACCTGAGCAGAAGGGTGATTTTCATCCCCGACAAATTGAGTGTTCGAATTGGGGATGTGGAAACATATTTCCATTAACGAATCTTTCTGTAAAGCAATCATAAACTCAATAAATTGACTATTTATTATTCATAGTAGACACTATCAGTAATTGCAAACGATTGTAACACTTCACATTTCATGACGATAAAGGACTTAGGGAGAGTAAGAAAATACCTCATTGGCACCAGTTGTGTCATCTACATGGAATTCCAAAGTTACATCATTTTTTCCTTGAAGTTGAGTTTGTGCAACATCAGCTAGTGATACCTCAAATGCTTGCTTACCACCCACCAGAAAAGTGAGTGTATTCCCTGGGAAACAAAGGCGAGGCATATCAAAATAGAAAAATAAGAAAAAATGATTGTATAACTGAACCTTAGCAAGTCAATCCTCCAGAAACCTTATAAATCATATGATTCATAACTTGATAAAGAGTCTGAAGAAGAAAAGGTTTGGGAGGAGAAAAGGAGGGATGAATAGCAGCAGATCATGTAATCACCACGTACATTACCAAGGAGCTTTAAAATAAAAATTGCCTATATTGCATGTTATATATGTCGGTTGGCAATGTGCTTAACAGAACAAACAAATTTCAACATCAATCCACTGAAGAAAACTGAGGCAAATCTAACAGCCAGAATTGTAAGATTCATCAGATAAAAATAGAGAGTTAAATATGAATGAATTGGCTAAGTCCAGTTGACATAGTAGGAACATACCATTTAAATCAACCTCTCCCCAGTTTTTTCCACTAACAGAGAGCTGCTTCTCCTCTGGAGTTTTCCCAAAATTAGACTGAAAAAATGTAGACAGACTAGCAACATCCTGCACAACAACCATCCATGAGAACATAAGAGTGCATTAGTTTTACAAATTGAACTTACTTCATGAGAGAAATGTGACAGGAATACTCAAGAATGCAGTAATGTCATGATGAATAAGAATCTAAGTGGATGAACAATTGAATATAAGACTTGTCTAGATGCTGTCTTTCCAATTTCCACTACGAGAAAGTTTGCTCAATCCAATAAAGTATCCAATATTATCCTCAAAAGTTACAAACCAATCATACATAAGAACAGTGGAAAGAATTATGAATAACATGATCACCAGAATTTGACAAATATAAGAAACATTGTACAAAATATTTGTGCACCTGATCCCGAAAACCAGTGAATTTATAGCGAAGGCCATCTTTGGTTCGAACTCCAAGTTGATTAGACCTCGGAACCTTCATCCACGTAAGCCCCATCAAATCAGATTTATCAACTTCAACAGCCTTGCCACCTCCTTGTTTCTTCCATACAATCCCGCCTGAACGGACTTTAAGTTGTCCTAGATTCTACATAATGAAGTACAAAGTTTAAACAGCTTTTCTTAGAAGATACATAAAGAGACCAAACACAAATCTCACATTGTCAAGAAAATTATTACTCTGATATCAAACTTACACAAACCTCATTTGCCATAAGCAGTAACATAATCAACAAAGAGACCATCATTCTTACATATTAATCTTATTCCTCATTTATTTTTAATTTCTTTTTTCTTTACATTTAAAGAAGATGCACAAAGTCCAATCACTATAAACGGCATTCTTCGGCATCCAAATTCCTCATACGCTTACAAACACATTCACAACTAATACAGCTTAACAGCGTCAATTTAGCTCACCAAAATCGTAGACAAACACTTTGAGCTTCTCATAGTCGGAAAAAAACAATAAAAAGATGAAATCCTTAAGAAATCAACGAAAAAAACCCCTAGGAAATCCACAACGACACAAATTAGCAAGGAAAATAGGCAAGAAATTAGTAAGGAACACTACGAGATTCTCAAAGTTGGAAAAACCGAAAGAAAAAATGAAATCCACACAATGATTGGAACGATATGTAAAACTTTCAATCACTTCGAAATATGTATTCAAGCTGTTCAGCTACAGCTCTGTAATTTTCCTAGGGTACATTACTCCCTCTTCTTTACAGCAAAGATCACAAATGCATTTTGTCTTTTTATGACAACCCCACCAAAGTGATGCATGATAATACTTGAACAATCACCTTTCATTGTATTCTTCTTCATCCTACCCCAAATGTATAAAGGAAAATTAAAAGGCAACACTATCTTGGGATGAGGATGCCAAGTATTACCCAAATATGAATATCACAAAACCTCTTATCAGTGTCACATTTAGCACATTTGATGAAAATCAAGTTGTTTGTATACATCTATTTCATCATTTACTGAAGCGTCGCATGTAACAAAGTGAAAGCATTTCCCTAGACATGATGAATTCCATAAACAAATAAAGCATATTCCTATTATCCAGACATGATGAAAAAACAACTTTGAAGAATTATCTTCACTCTTCACATTGCTGAAAGCATATTCCTATTATCTAGAGTGAGCAAACACATAAATCAGAAATGTATAAGTCCATTTGATGTGCAGAAGAAATGGATAAGTGTTGAGCAAATAAAGCACCTTAAGAGCTGCCAGTTCTGCACCTAGTTTGGATATGTCATTTGTAGTCAGAATATCACCCGCCTAGAATAAAATAAAACAACAAAAATTTAGACAAAAGATGGCGATACTATGTAAATGAGTACCCGATGGATTGTCTTTCCTATTTAGGAATACATTCACTACAAAATATAATACCAGATGAAATTCGCTTGGCTCTTCATTCATGCGACCACGATCCCTACAAAACAGAACAGGATAGGAATCAGGAAAATATGCCAAGTGGAAAGTCTTACTACACAACCAACTAGTAACTAACATGCATGATAAGAAACACCAAGAAACTTTCGCTAATACCGGGACAATCAAACTCAACAAAGTAATGAGAACTGGAATTGTCGCAGTTCCAATGGCTTCAAGTGACCTTACATTACTGAAATTATGAATCAAACCATACCAGTACACGAGAAGCTCCCTGTGATGCCTCTCTGAATCCTCAATCAGTGAATTGTCTTCTCATTCATAGAGGAGTTCATAATCTTCATAGAACACTGATCAAAAGCATCATTA